TCTCAGATTCTTTTTCATTTTACTTTCTTTTTAAAAAGTGATTCATGGCCTTTATTAACAGGGCTTGCAGCTTGTTGACTATTTTTTTTAATCAAGTTGTAAACTTTTATACCAATTAAAAATGAAGTTCTTCAAATCTTATCTTGACTAGATACGAAACAATTTAAAAATCTTCAAAGACATTAAAAGTCACTAAGATAATGCTTACAGACTCCTAGAGAAAGAGCATAAACTCTCCTCTGCCTGTCCAGTATGGTAGCACCCAGTCACACGTGGCTGAAATAGGTTAAGTTAAGCCTCTTGCATTTTCAGTGCAATAATTTGCTCAACCGCTTGCATTTTCAGTGCTCCAGAGTGCCTGTGGGTAGGGCTGTTCTGTTGACTGAGATGTACAGCATTTCTGTCAGAACGGAAGTTCACTGGGCAATCCTGCCATGCTCTCTGCTGGTCTCATACTGCACAGCCACCAGGACTATTCACAGACCTTTCCCAAGTCTTGTTAAAAGGTTGCTTCTATTAGCATGTTTTTATAAGCAGTTATTTTAAAGTACAGATTAAGACATAAATTAAAATTTAAAATACAAATAATAATTTAAAGTAAAGTTAATGAAAATATAATTTGATCTCAACTGTATAAAAAATGTAATCTGCCATTTGCAACAACATGGATGGACCTAGAAGGTATTCTAAGAGATGGAGAAAGATGAGTACTGTATGATTTCACTCATGTGTATAGAAAGAAACAAATGAGCAAAGTAAATAAAAGAAAAATAAACCTTTAATTATAGGAGCAAATTAGTGGTCCCCAGAAGCAAAAGTGGGTAGGTAAATCAGGTAAAAGAGCTCAATTATATGATGAAGGATGGAGCGTTTGTGCTAATTATAAGGTACTATATGCAGATATGTTGAACTATAATGATGCCCCCTATATAATGTTGTAAACAATGTTACTTCAATAAAATTATTTACTTTAACATTATATAATATTAAGATTTGTTGGGTGACAGCAATAATTACTATGTTTTCTTGGTCACTGTTAAAATCATAGCCAAACCACAGAAGCTTGGTACTGCTTAAGCTATCACACTTGGCCATATTTATTTTGACTTTTGTATGTCCATTTTTTTCTCAAATTTTTTCATAAAAAAACATTAAAGATGGAGTGGGGAATGGGATCAAAAACGGGGGGTGGGGTGGGGAGGGAAATGCACGGGATTATGGTGATGGCACACGGGTGACTTGGTGATGGGAAACCCACGGGGATTACAATTGAGATGGAAAAAAATGTACAAAATGATGTAAAAATAAACTTTTGTAAAAAAAACATTAAAGAATAAAACATTAAAGAATATTCCCTTCGATTGTAGACGAATTCCCTTATTTCTTGTTCCAAGTCTAGCTAGATTCCACTATTGGCCACTAGGTGGAGGTGGGTTCTTGTTTTATATTCTCTAGCTTTAAATAACAATTCAAATTCAGATTCTTGCAATGGGCAATCTGGTCTTTTCCTTGAAAACCTTAGAATATTTCTAATGGGAATTAAACACACCCACATGTTAAATTCCCTACAATTTTCCAATTAAAAGGGAAAGAGTAAAGAAATACTAAATCATTTGCCCATGTTTCCTTTGCCAAAATTCTGTCCTCAACAGACAAGTTTAAAGACTGATACTGGTCAAACAGGAAATCAGAGAGGCTTTCTCCTTGTCAAACCTTAAATTAATCATTGGTTTTGCTATATAAGCAAAGGGTGAAATGTTTAAGACGCTAAGATAACAGTCAACATAGTTTTTAAACTAAGTCTCTTTAATTGTGACTCAAGATAATATTAAATTAAACATTACATACATTAAACATTGATTTTTAGTCCTTTACTGACAAGGTTTGTTTCTTTCTTCTCAAAATCCCAGATCATGAACGCTTATCTTAAGACAGGCAATGGGACTCACTCACAGTCAAAACCCTTGGATGTGAAATTCTTCAGGCACAAAGTGGACTGCCTCTCTTTTAACCAAGAGGACCTACTTTGGATATATCGAATTACAATTTCTCCTTCCCATCTGGGCCACTTTGAGATTACTCTGTACTAGAAATGCCACAAAACAAAGCATGTGTAATTTCTCATGGCATGGAGCAAACAAAAACTTCACAGAACACTTTTATCTGCATCTTTGCTTTGTCACGTCAGCTTTTCGAAAACTGCTTAAATGTTGATAGGGCTTATAAAATATATGTAGTAATAATGAAAAATATTCATATGAATGTAGTTCTATGTCTGTATGCAATAGCCAGGACTTGAGCCTCCTTAGGGCTTAGGGTTTAAGTCTCAGGCTATCATTACTATGGCCAGAGTTTAGTTCCATCCCAGGCCAGGGAGGTGACACACATAGCACAGCAGACCTCTCCTGTCTCTCTGGCTGCTCCCCTCAGCAGTGTACTTTTTTTAAAAAAAGATTTATTTATTCATGCTTACAGAACTGGGGCACAGGCCAGAAGTGTGGAGGGTGAAAGGATTCACTAGAGACAGAGTGGGGAACAGAAAAGGCACACTGAAAAAATACACTGCTGAGGGGAGCAGCCAGCAGTCAGGAGAGGTCTGCTGTGCCCTGTGGGTCAGCTCCCTGACCAGGGATCAAACTCTTGCTGCAGAGGCTTCGTACAGCTTCATAAGGTGGTGCTTTAACCTGCTGCACCACCAGGGAGAGTCCCAGCAATGTCTTTTAGTAGATCTGCCTGTTCTACTTGCCACTTTGTCTCTGGTGAATCCCCCCCACCTCCCTGCACTTCTGGCCTACACCCCAATTTTTCTATGCAAAAAAGAAAACCAGGATTTAAGAGTGTTTTCTATTCCAGTAAAGACTTTCTTTGACAAAAATGGAAGATGGACTGTGTGGTTATGTCTCAAAAGCCACAGTGCTCGTGGTCTGACTGAACAGCTGACTAAAGAGTAGAGTGCAGAATTCAAAGGTGCTTTCCCACTACCTGACAGGGTATGTATGCGCAAGGAAGTGGAACTGTGATGAGGCCTCTGGGGCAGAATCCCACAGTAGCCAGTCACAGGACACAGCTAACAGAACAGACGCTGGTAGTGACGGCACAAGTGACTTCCCAGAATTTCTGACGATGATGGCAAGGAAAATGAAAGGCACAGAGAGTGAAGAAGTCGGAGAAGTATTCTGTGCATCTGGGAAGGACGCAATGGTCCCTTGGGGCAGCAGAGCTTCCCTGTGGTGACAGAGCTGGGAGAGCCGTTAGCAGTGACGGGGCCGAGGAGGTGGTCAGGCCAGCAGATGCGATGGTGGGGTCAAGCAAGTGTGAATCAGTTTGTACAACTGATGTCGACAAAGTGAAGCCATTGTACAGAAGGTGTTAAATTTCTTGTGCAAAATTGCTTATTTGCCTTTTCTTTCCAGTTAAAGGAAAATTGTTTATCTGTAAAAGGTTTCCCCTTTTACAAAAAATATGTGTGGGTAGTAATCAGGACTTTGCTTCTCCATGTTTTCTTCCCTTTTCTTGTTGTCATTGTCCTGGAATCTTATTTTAAAAAAAGGGATGAAGTAATATGCTGCATGTGCTTACTCTGGGTATATGTAAGCCTTCCACACAGCTAAGGTGCAGCTGATCAAAAGAACATGTGGGTTAAAACTTTTTTAAAAGTAGCTTTCGTTAGGAACCGTTGCGGTGCGGAGTTGTCACTCTGTATGGGCTAGGGCTACCAGCAGGATGTTCTTTTTTTTTAAAGTTTTTTTTTTTAAATATAATAGTTTGTTTTTACATCATTTTGTACATTTTTTTCATCTCAATTGTAATCCCCGTGGGTTTCTCATCACCAAGTCACCCATGTGCCATCACCATAGTCCCGTGCACTTCCCCCCCACCCCGTTTTTGATCCCATTCCCACTCCACCCCCACAAAATGTCTCTGGTATATGACTGTTCATTATTCTTATTATTTTCTCGCCTGGTCCCTTATACTCCTCAGCAGGATATTCTTAAGTCGCATAGTGTATGTGTATCACATCTTGATCCAGCCATCTATTTGTAATAAAGTGAAAAGTAAAATCAACAAACAACCGTAAACCAGAACCATTGGACAGAGCGGAAAGGGGAACAGGATCAACACTGGGGTGAGAAGAGCACCCGAGACTATGGTGATGGCCCACAGGTGAGGTGGTGGTGGGACGTCCACAGGGATTACAACGGAGATGAAAAAAATGTACAAAATGAAGGCTGATGTAAAAACATACATTTAGAAAATAAAACAAAAGCAAAAGTCCCACTGTTGCAAAATGGGTCTCACACAGTACTTTTTGGTCCCATTGTCCTGGGCTACTTACTTTTACTTGTTTTTGTTTTTCTGTTCTTATTGGTGTTCTCACATTGCTATTCATTTTTGCACAGTATTGGCCTTCTCCCCGTCACTCTGCCACCAAGCACCCATGACCCCTCCCCACAGTCCCCAGGGCTCTTCCCTCCCGTTTGACCCCTCTCTGCCCACTTCCCTGCTGAATGCCTCAGGTCTACGGTCAACTTTCATTTGCTTGCTTTTTCAATTTTCACTGTACACAGGAAGTCTGCTCATGGCACAATTTACCTAAAATCTATTCCAAGTTGTATATTTGTTTTTCAATTAAAAAAAAAAAGATAGCATTTGATCACCGTTGTGCAAGCAAGCACAGGGCAGGTTCTCTACTGATTTGGGCAGATGGATAAAGGGGATCCCTGGAGCCCTTTATGGCTTTTTCAGGCTTTAATGCTCTTTCTATACCAACTGTGCCAGCAAGGCGGTGGAGGTGGTGGTGGTCGGGGACGGGGTCGGGGGGGGGGTGGTGGTCCAGGAGGCTGGCAGGCCTCCCGCCCTTAGTGGATCTTCCTTCTTTCTCTCCTGCTCTCTGCAGCTTTGTGGGTGGTCCTGCTTCTCTGTAGTCACTTGTCCTCTGTAGCGGGTTCTGCTTTAGCTGGGTCTGTCTCTCCGTGACGTCAAGCTTATAGCCTCCGGGCTCAGGTGCGCCCACTCACGCACACCTGCTCCATACTGCAGGTGTCCACCGCCAGGCACGTGTGCCCCGAGCGCATGCTCCCAAGCGCCTCTGCATTCAGGGCCGCAGGTGATGTCACAGAGGCCAATGGGGTAAAAGCCTAATCATTTCATTTACCCTCTAACCTTTCCTCCCTCCCTCCCAAGAGAGAGGACCCTTCGTAGTCTGCACTGGCTTTTCCTGGCTTCACCCCATGTGCCTTTTCCCGGAGCTGATTTTGCTCTCTATTTTTCTCACTATAAATAGTCACAGCTGTGAGCACAGCTGCACGGTGAGTCCCTGAGTCCCCCCAGTGAGTCATCCACTGTGGGGAGGCCCTGACAGCCCTTTATTGGGCTTGGTGTCTCATAATGTTTAAAATCAGATTTACGGTCATGATTTATGAACATAAATTTAGTCAATTTGATTTTCTTTATTCAAATACAAGAAGGTCATTTGAAGGAAAATTCTAAACCTAGTTAAAGCTCTACTGATTTTGCAAGTTGATATTAATCTATAGATATTTTAGGAATGAGAAGTTTTCCCGATGGTTGTTATGTAAAAAGAGGGTGCAGGTGGCACTCCATCCTGTGATGGTCTCAAATGTCACTTTATATGATTTACTAAATCACAGTAAATTATATTCTAAAAGCAGGTCCCTGAGCAAGTTGATATATAGATATCTTTCACCCCTTTAAAACAGGAGATATTCTTCCATGTGAATGAATCAGAAGGAAGTGAGTTTAGCATGATCTGGGGCACATAGAATTATGGGATGAGTTATAACTTGATGCAAAAAAATAACATAAAAAGAATTATTGTGTTTTCCCTGGTGGTGCAAGGGTTAAGTCAGCACTATGAAGCTATCCACAGCCACTGCACTACAAGTTCGATCCCTGGCCAAGGAGGTGACCCACATGGCGCAGCAGACCTCTACTGTCCTGCCCGCTGCTCCCCTCAGCAGTATATTTTGGTACATTTGCTTGTTCTGCTCCCCACTCTATCTCTGGTGAATCCTCTCACCACCCACACCTCTGGTCTGTATCCCAGTTCTTGTATGCATAAATAAATAAATCTTTATAAAAAAAACAAACCTCGGCAGGAATTTGCCAATTATAAAAAAAAAAAAGGGAATTATTGTGATGCTGTTATACCTGCTTTTTATAACTCCATTCTTATGCTTGGAAAGCATTTTCTTAATAATTGACAGCCTTATCCATTGTGTATGAATTTCAGTGGCATAATCCTAGCTTAGTGTCTTTTCCATCCAGGTTACTAGGACTGATGCTCCACTCCTCACTGGTAAGAGTATAGAGTGATTTGGGCATCTACAATGAAATAACGGAAATTTTAGGAAGTCCACAATCAGCTGCTTTCTTATTCAATAAGTAAACTTGATCATTGTCAAGCAGTTTATTTTTGCACACCTGGGAGAAACACTGATAAGGCTCCAGTTTCTCACCAGACCCAGTGATCTCAGAGCACTTCAAGCATAAACGTCCCCACAACCGTCTCCTTCCTCTCAAGAAGAAAGGAACATCATTAAATTGGATTCGAGTGGTTCATATTCCTCAGAAAAGGACACTCTAGAGACTGGAGACCCCGACCAGGAGGAGGTCCATGGAGTGAAAACGGAGAGGCGAGAAACTGGTGTCGGGGCACAAAGTGGTTCCTTTTTCAGATGTGGGGTGTTGGGCAACAGAAGTATCAGGAACACTTGTTCCACAGATCCAGGTGATGTTTGATCAGCTCAGGAGTCCCGTGAGGAAGAGTTACAGCCACTCAACTCAGAGGCTGCATTTCCTTTCCATGTAGAGTCCCAGGAGAGGAAGAGAGGGAATGTAAAGAGAGACTGGGCATTGGCCTGATGAGGAATGGAGGAGAATTTCTGGAGTTTCCTTCAGAAATGGGGCAAAGTAATGCTCATTGCTTATACCTACCCAGAGGTGAATATGGGAGTAAGAACTGGGGGCAGTTTGCCTCAATTTGAAAAGAGGGGCCAGGCTTTGAGCACCCCTCCCCCCATCCTCACAGCACTGCCTGTGTTAGATCCTGAACACAGGGCACTCATTAAATGCTCCCAAACTTGTGTGACATGAGTTATATCCTCACAAGGACGAAGGGAATGGAAGTACCACCTATTGACTGAGATCTTCGTCGTCCTGAAATAAAAGTGAAAAGGAAGATGAATTCACATTGAGAACGTAAAGAGCAGCAACATCTTAGAAAATCATATAAACATTTGCACCCTATGCCCCATGTCAGTGGGAACTAGAGCAGGCCCAAATGGTAGGTACAAGCCAACCCCAGGCATGAAGGAACAGCCTGCAGTGTAAGTTACTGGCTCTTGCTGGGCCAGGCAGCTTGCTCCCTCAAAGTGGTCTTGGCCTTGTCAGAATCTGAGTTCTGTGGCCCCCTCTACTTCTGTTTCAACTTCATCAATGAAGAATAGGAGGAGACAGTGGAAAGGTAATGCCAACCCATTTTCCAGAAGATTCTTACCTTGCTGGTTTTGAAAATGGAGAATGATGCTCATCATCACAAAGGGGATGAACCCCAGCACAAAGCTCCCAACTCCAGCCAGCATCTTGCTCTGGGCAGAATCTGACTGTACCTCTGGGAAGAGCAGAGCCAGGGTCAGTTTCATCTCTACCTGCCTATGGACCTGTGTCCACCTGGCTCTGGCCTGATCTGGTATGTACCACAGAAAGAAAAGGGACAGGATAAAATCCAGCTTGGAGACAGGAAGAAGGAGTGTTATGAAGAGCATCCAAAACCTGTGTTACAGAGCAGTGACTTCCACAAGAGGTAAATGCTAGTTTGCCTGCAGCCTAAAAGTGCAGGCTCCGGAGCTGAAGGGTGGGGCCGGCTGCCCTCCCTGATGGCCTGTCAGGTCTTCTGACAATGAATTTCTTTAGGACCTGCCGGGGTGGGGAAACTGTGTGCTACAATCACCGGGTCCTCACTGGGCCCAGTCCAAGCCACAGTCAGCAGGACTGTTAGGAAAGACACGGGCCGTTGTGACCCCCCCCCTTGCAGTGCACTGGGGAGCGGGGGGGGGGGGCGTGAAAGGGCCATCAGGAAGTAACTCACTCCACTGCATAGTGACAGCACTGTCCAGGCTGAGGTACTCGACTTGGCAGGTGTAGATGTCTCCCTGCTGAGGGGTCATTTCCAGCATCACCAGGATCTGGAAGTTCCAGTCTCCATTGTGGATCAGGTTGGTGGGACACAGCCCCAGTTGTTTCCTCCTGTCTACACTGGAACCAGCAGATGTGAATGTTGCATGGATAGAAACCTGTCACGTGGCAGATGAGAAGGTTGGGGTGCTTCAGGAGCCCCCCTTTGGAGGTGGAGATGTTCACCTTAGGCTGGATTCTTAGGGAGAAGAATCTTATTATGACAACCAAGGCAGCTACCGCAGTGCATTTAACTATATTCTTGCAAGTTGACTTGTAGATGTTAAAGACGATGGTGTCCTCTAGAAAGCTATCTGGAGGCAGAAGGTGGGGAATAAAGTAGGAAAAACAGAATAAAATATGCAAATGTTCTGAGAACAACCTCTTTATGCAGAAGAAAGAGCAGAGAGGAATAAAAGAGGGCGGAAGTTGGCACTTTCAAACCTTTTGGCAGAAATGTATAAATGGGTGATTAATATTCTTTGAACAGAAATGTTGATTCAGCTATGAAACTACCTAATTTTACACTTTCCTATCTTGTACAAAGGATGTATAATCCTGCCAAATATTATCTAGGGATCAGACTATATCCAGCCAATAGCATTCTTCTGATTCATCAGTCTGACATCTTCATTAAAAAAAATCTCGAAGAAATAAAGCAGCTTGATTTGTTCTTCATTTAACTTAAATATCTCCTGCCTTCTCTACCAAAAGAAAAAAAAAATTTGTATCAAGACCCACCAACCCAGTGTTCTTCGTCCTTCATGGTGTTTGATTAGCAGGAAGTCTGACCTTCCCCACACTTGTCTGTGCCTGACAATATTATTTATTACCGTTGATATAAAGGTATTTTTCTACCTAAGCCTGTCACTTTCCTTATACAATACACATTTTTCTTATATCCAGTCATGTGATTTTGTACAAATCATAGAACCTCCCTGATCCAAATTTTTCTTACCCAGTCACTAACAGTCTAACTCAACAACCTCTGAGATCCTTCTGGGCACTAGTATAACACAGAGAACCTCAAGGTCGAGGAGGGTGGACACAATGTGGACACTTTAACTGTGGGATCCCAGAGGAGAGGCTGCAGGAGAGCACCTGAAATTTGCTGAGAGTTAGAGGCAGGGGGAGCGAGGAGGGCTTGGGAGGGAGTGGACCTTGCTTCTGGGGTGCTGGGAGGGGCAGGGTCCTGCAGGGGGCGGCTTGGGGAAGGCACTCAGGCCAGAGACCAGAGGGGCAGCAGGAAAAGGGCGAGTGGCTGAGTGACAGGAGACGAGGACAGGTGGATGGTGGTGTCTGTTCACTGCGCTGAGTTAGGAGTTTGGGGATTTTCCTTACAGGGAATAAATCATTATAAGGCCATCGGCGGAGTGTGAGGGTAGATAAGATATTTACAACAATAGACAGGGGCCGATAAGGACATGGATAAGAATTAAGAATATGAGGGAGAGGGCCTCCCTGGTGGTGCAGGGCTTAAAGTCTCAGCACTATCAGGCTATTGGTAGCCACTGCAACACAAGTTTGATTCCCGGCCAGGGAGCTGACCCACATGGCACAGCAGACCTCTCCTGTCCCGCCCGCTGCTCCGCTCAGCAATATGTTTCAGTAGATCTGCCTGTTCTGCTCCCTACTCTGTTTCTGGCAAATCTTTCCCCACACCCTTCGGCTGTATCCCAGTTTTGTATGCATAAATAAATAAAAATAAGTCTTAAAAAAGAATATGAAGGAGAGTATGAAGCAAAATCTATGTATAGGATTTAGGGTGAAGAGAGGCTTCCACGTTCCTGATGCAGTATCATGAGGCGGTAAGTGTAATGCTGAAGGCCGGACACTGGGGAGAGCAGGCTTGCTCTTCTACCTTAGTGACTTATTAACTGTAACCTCAAGGAGGCACAGTGCCCTCAACAGTGAAATGGGAAGAAGGCTGTTTCCCTGGCAACACTATGTGGATTAACTGGGGCCTAGACTGTAAGATGCAACTCTGGAACGCAGTATCGGCTCAGTTAGCAGTGGCTGTGATCACATGCAGGTTTTTATTCATAAAACTGCAGTGAGGAGCCCTCCCTGGTAGCACAATGGGTTGAAGCGCAGCCCTGCAAAGCTAGCAGCAGCTGCTACAGCAAGAGTTCAATCCCGGGCCAGGGAGCTGATCTACATGGAACAGCAGATCTCTCCTATCTCACCAGCTGCTCCCCTTAGCAGTGTATTTCAGTCAGTCTGCCTGTTCTGCTCCCCACTCTGTCTCTGGTGAATTCTCTCACAGCCCCTGCACTTCTGGCCTGTACCCCAGTTCTATATGCATAAATAAATAAAAAAAAAACACAACATTGTGAGAACACCGAGTATGTGTGCTTTCTGCGCTCTCTTCTTGCCTGGTTATACCCCATTTCTCAGGTGTATTCATGTTCAAGCTCTTGAAGAGAGTTGGGCATTTGCCAGTTCCACTATCTCTTCTGACCATTCCTCCTCAAACCTGCGTACTTTAAAGTGAGCACTGACCCCCTGCCCCGGGCCCCCCAAGCTGCCCTGACAAAGACCAGTGTCTGCTGCAGCTCATCACCTGCCCATACTGCCCCCTCCCCCACAAAACCCTCAATGATGGCATGTCCTCTGCTGTGTTCCTGACACTCTGGCCATTCTTGACTGGGATGATTTCACTCACATTTCCCCACACATTCCAACCACCTGAAGCCAGAGAAATGTTTGGGGCCACTGCATTCATCCAGGTTAGGGAAGAGTGACCTGAGTTAACTATTACAGTGGACAGGGGGGACAAAGTGGGGAGACAGCTGAGGTAAACTAACTGGTCTTGCGCATTTCTAAGCTCTACACCTGTCCCTGGACACCTCCAGGTGCACATCCCATAGGAGCCTTAACATCAGGGGGTTCCTCTTGCACACCCACTCCTCCCTGGGTCTCAGTCAAGGGGATTCTTTCTCACCCTCTGGCTAAGAGTTTAGTCACAGAACACATTCTCTTCTTATTTCTGATCAGTGAGCAAGACCAGTTGCTTTGCCTCTCTCTCCCTCTTCCCACTTTATCCTCTGTCCTCTGTAATAGTTGTTAACTCAGGTCACTCTTTCCTAACCTGGATGAATGCAGTGGCCCAGAACATTTCTCTGGCCTCAGTTTCACCTCTTTCTTCTCATCCTTTGCCTAAGCCTGAAACTCTAAAGTCATGCGGTGTCTCTGGATGATGTCTATCTTCCTAACATGACACATGAGGCCTGTTAAGATGTGACCCCTGCTTCCCTCACCAGCTTCCTCTCTGGCCCTTCTCTTGAGCCATTCTTTCAGCTTTTATCTTGGTGATTCCATCGCTTCCTGTGTTGCTTATTTCATCTTGTATAATATTTGCATATTACCAAATAAAATAAATTAAAATGCAAAATAAACAGTATTTGCACCCATGAGATGGATATTCTCTTTCTTCACAATTTTCTTCATGACCGGAAGTCACTGTGTTTTCCCAATTTCAGTGTCACCCAGGCCCTCCTTTTGTCCTATCCCATTTCGTCTCTGTTGAAAGTTGAGGAAACTGTGAGTTGGGGGCATAAAAAGGAAGTGGGGGCATCTGCTCAGACCTTGGAGACTTAGCCTGGACTCCACATTTCTCTCAGCAACAAGTTCCCCAGCATCAAAATTACAGAGGACTCGGGGCCCACCTCTCCCGTCCCTAGCAGTTTCTCTCACATGGTGAATAGACTCCGTCTTATTCCTCTTACTGACCTGAACCCAGTGGCTTCTTCATCGCACCCACACCTTCTACAACCACACACCACCCTGCTCACTCTTCACCTCAAAGGAAACCCAAGCCCTGCTTTCCAGTGTATTTATGTCCGCAGCCACCAGTCTCCCTGCTCCCACAGCAGTGTCCCGTGCTACTTCTCCTTTACCTCCTTCTTAGCTACTCCCACAGCTCTGACCTGCTCTCTAAGACTCAAGCTTTCTTTTGTCATCTGCAGGCACAAGTCCCACAGCTGAGCTGCTCCTGTCCAATTCTCCATCTAAGTGATGAATGTCAGAAAAAATGAATGTCAGAATCGGCGACGGCTTGTCCTTACTATTCTCCTCGGCTCCTCCCATTGACCACCACTGTTCCAGGGATGGGGTTCTGCCTGGTTCTATGGAAGAAACTGACTGGGAGCACAGATTCTACAGCATGACCTTGGGACCCTGAACAGTTCAGACCAACCATGATTTCCCCGTTCTGATCTGTGATGCTGACATGTCATCTTGAAGTTGGAAGAAGTTGTCTTCCAAAACCATTCTAGACCTTCACTGGGACCAGAGGCACTCCTGGAACTCTTCTCTGGAGGGAGATGAAGTCCCTGGATCATGTTGGAGCCCCAAAGCCTTTCTCAGGGAGTGGGCCCAAGTGGGGAAGCCCCGGGGTCATGCCCCAAGCCAGGCCCTCCGGGAGCAGCAGCTCTGCACTTACCTGGGATGTCTCTGCACTGAGCCAAAAGGGAGCTCAGCATGGCCAGGGCCATGGTCAGAGCTGCCATCCAGGAGGCCCCACTGACCTGCAGGACCACCATCCTGGGTCCTGGGCAAAGGTGGAGCTGAGGAATTGCAGTCAGAGCAGCTCTCCCCACCATGGGCCCCAGTGCTAAGATGTCAGTGCTGATAAGCCAGGCCTGCCTCCTGCACCCCCTGGGTGTGGCCAGATTCCAAAAAAGGAAACAATAAGTGGGAAACATCCTTCTCCAGTCAGAGATTTGGTGCAAAGCATGTGATTCTTCCAGGTGTAAGAGACACTAAAGACAGAGTAAGGAAAGGGACCCTCATTTTGAGCAACTGGGTGAGTCATAGGCTTGATTATTTTATGTTTTCCTTCCTGAGGAAAGATGGTCAGGGATATAATTTCTCCTCAGTGGTGACCGCCTGCCCCTCAGGTGGATGTATTCTGGGATGGAGTGAGCCCTAAGCCCTAAGCACTGTGTTGAGGGTCTGCCCAGAATTCTGAGATTCTGAGTTAGTCTTGGGAATGTAGCAGTGGTCTGAGTGCCTGGGCGGCATCTCCTCTCGGGCTCTCTTAGCCCTTTGAGGTATGAGGCATCTGGTTTTTTTTTTTTAGGTTTACTTATTTCTGCATACAGAACTGGGGTACAGGCCAGAGGCACAGCGGTGGTGAGAGAATTCACCAGAGACAGAGTGGGGAGCAGGACAAGCCGACTATCGAAGTACACTGCT